TAAACTAATAATAATAATAAAAGTAATTGACAAGTGCATCCTAATTCCATTGTACTATATTTAGCTAAATTAAACGCAAATACTGGACCATAATTACAGTATGTAGATGTCATTGATTTGGAAAAGGATTTCAAATTTGGCTCCAATATTTTGGATGGACTGCATTTTTATAACGGCCAAATGGACAAAGTTCATATATTCATATACATATACTGTAGGAAGCAATGAGCATAATTTGTCTGACAATTCTAAACGGAAATGTACACTGTAAAAATAAACGTTTTACTTACACTGCAAGCCTTGGCCATTCTCGCCCGCCAAGTATCGAAATGTGACTGTGTGACAGCTATATAAAAGGCCAGACGTTTATAAGCAACAAGAAAGGACTTGGAACCATTGTTCACAGTAGGAATCTTTCGTTGTATCAAATTTCTTCCACAAATCTAATTCCTCTTCGTCCAAAAAGCAGTGGACGAAGTAAAAATTCGGCTTGTTAACGTATACTGAGTAATTTGCAAATTGATTCCATCCATAGTCCAGACTTCTATAATCGTAAACGGCTAATATGTTTACTGTCAAGGTCACAGAATAAGGCACACAGAAGGGACACTTACGCCGGAAGCTTTGAAGTTTCTGTCACCCTTGCCGCCATCTTGGTTGAAAAGTTTTTTCCTGACATTCCAAAAAAGGGTCGAAAACATTTTTCCGGACATAAACCAGTTAAATTAAAGGACAAAAAATGTTTTCCGTACAAATTCCTGTTAAAACATGAGTGAACCCTTGTTTTTGGGCAAATATCTATAAAATTTGATTCTATAAATCCCTGTAAGTTACTTAATAACTCCACATTCTATCACAATGGCATCATATAACCTATACGGGCCTAGAGATAGAGACTATAATGCAGATACACGGAAAAACGGAGGAATTGCAGTATATCTTCGACAGAACTTGGAAGTAATTCGTGTCTGTCGGGAAACAGAATTTGAAATGATTAGTATTATACTTATTCTCCCAACGGGACATAAAATGTTAGTTATTGGAGCCTATCACCCTCCAAGATTTAGTTATGATGAAACAGATATTTTGAATCGAATTGTGGAAGTCGTTGACAATTTTTTAGACATTAACCCAAATGGCTTAGTTCTCTTTGGTGGAGACATTAATCATCTAAACGTTAGTCAAATTTCCACAATGTCTGACATGTTGCCTTTGGTAGACTTTCTCCGCTACAGGGCAAGTAATTCTTGATAACTGCTTTACAAATAGACCGGAATTTTTCAATAAAGCATACCCATTGCATATACAAATGAAAGCAGACCACTTGGGAGTCATTATCTCGGCAGGAATAAATTGAAGCCCCTCCGCACTACAATCAGCTTTAGGGACAACAGAGCACAGAATAAAGTCAAATTTCAAAAGAAGCTTGCCGAGAAAAGTTGGTCTGAAGTTACGTCATTGGAAACAGTTGAAGAAGCAACTAAAGTACTGGAGAACACTATCCACAATATGATAGATCAATGTTTTCCAAAGAAAACAGTTACTCTTTCCACTCGTGACCCTCCATGGATGTCTCCACTCTTAAAGTACTTAATAAGAAAAAGATCAAAGGCTAAGTCAAGGAGAAAGCTATCTATTGCGACAGAATTAACAGAACGAATATCTGGAATAATTTCACATAATTGAACAAAAATATGGCAAAGTCCGAGTGTACTGGTACAAGCCAATGGGGGAAAAACGTCACATAGAAGAAATCGAGATCATATTATACTTGACAACGAGTTCAAAGAACTTGAACGATTACTTTGGAGAGTAATGTTGGAATAGAGACTATGAACAGCCAACGTTGATGCATGGTGAAAGATTCAATCACAATAAAAGCTAGCTCCTCAGTTTAGCATAACCCAGGTCAAGAACGCTTTGTTAGAAATAAGGAAAACTGCAACAGGCGCTGATGGAATCCCATTTGGGTATGGAAAGAAAACGCTGATGTATTTGCACCTGTTATGACCACGATTTGGAATGAATCTCTCTCTACATCCACATGATCTACCTCTTGGTAAATTGCTCATGCATATAGATCCTTTAACAAAAGTGGAGTATCCAAAGGAATATTGTGAATTTAGAGGTATAAACGTCACACCTGTGATTAGACGATGTTTCGAAAGAACGGTGTATATTATCATTATCATAGTAAAAGATCTTTCGAGGCTAAGTTATCATCTTTCCAGTTTGCTTATCGAATCGCTGGGTGTAGACAAGACGCCTTACTTAAATTATTATAAGTAATAGCATGGCATTCAGGTCGATTAGTGATTAAATGTACCCGAAAGCCGAGACAACCTCGTTCCCAGGGTCTTTAGGAAAGACCCTGGTATCGGCTGGTCACGTGCCTCGTCCAAAATTGATCGCCCGAGCGGGTGTGGTGAAAGTATCAAATTACAAACAGTTAAAAACAAAAATTTTGCCAACTACTCCAGTAAGTTCAAAATACTTGCTAATTTTTGTTTATTTTTTGCTTTGAATTTTAATACAAGAACATTCTTACATTTTTACCAACAGTCAAGTCAAGAAACCAAGCAAATCGTTACTCGCAGTGCTCTCTCGTGTTATTATCAGCGCGGTGTTATAACAAACGTTTGTGGACCTTTATGGGCTTTTCAC